GCACCACCACCCACCACCCACTACGCACGCGCGCGCGGAGCCACAGGTCCGCTACGACACGCGTCCGCGGATAGAGAAAATCAGCGCCATGGTAAGGGATGGGAGGGAGGGATAGGACGACAGATATGACGCGAGCGCACCTAGCTTGCCTCGCCCCCCTCCCCTCCCTCCCCCCCTCCTCCTCCCCCTTTCCTCTCCTGCCCCTCGCTCCTCGCTCGTCCTCCCTTCCTGTCCTGGCGTTTCCGCTGCGTTCCAGGATCACCCCACTCCTCCCCCCGATCCTTTTTCATTCCCGCGCCGACGCCGACGCGCCGCCGACGGCCCCCGCGCCGAGCGGGGGGTCCGGCGGACTTGCGCGCGCGCGGCGCGCGGGCGACCTGGAGACGAAGAGCAGTGGGTGGTGCAAGGACTGCCCTCCGCCTCTGCTGCGCAGTCGCTGGGAGGGAGGGGTGGAGGGAGGGAGAGATGCAGGAGAAGGAGGTTCAAGTTTGCCCATCCCAGGTCGGCCCGTGTAAATGTACTGGTTTACCTGACGACGTTTTGATTCGCACAACGGAAAGCGGAGCTAACATACTCATCGCTGATCTGCGAGGAAGAAGGGGGACAACGACAACAACAATCATGTTAAGACTGTTCGCTCCTATCTGCTCACGTGCTACTCAATACGTATATTCCAAACCCTCGGTGCCCGCCCTCGTCGTCTTCGATCGTACCCCTTGGGGGTATATCTTCCTTACCTGCTACGTGAATTTAGTTAGTGCAGCCCCTAAAACAAGGGATGAGAAGACGGGTGGAAGGGGGAGGGATAATAATGGAGCACGAGAGAAATTAGCAGGAGGGGGGCAAGGAGGAGAAAACAAGTGGTAGAACCAGACGGGCAGATCGGGTGGGCAGACCCAGAACGGGCAGGTCGGGGAGGCGGGCCCAGGCGACGAGGTCGAGCAGGCGGGTTCCTGAAGCGTGGGTCCTGCATGAAACGCGAGGAAGTCCCGAGCGATAGCGCTATTCCTAAGTAAATCGTGAGAAAAGCCAGCGTGGGACACGAAGGGCATAAAAGCCGAGGCCAAAGAGGGCAGCGACGGGGCCGTTGAGGGCAGTACCAGGGCCACGAAGGGCAGCGAGGGGGCCTCGAAGGGCGACAGCGGGGCCACGAAGGGCATGCATATGGGGCCACGACGGGCGCGAGTGAGCGGGGGCTACGAAGGACATTCGTATACGGGGCCACAGAGGGCGACAGCGGGGCCCCTGAGGGCAGCAAAGGGGCCACGAAGGGCAGGAAAAGGGCCACGAAGGGCAACATCGGGGCTACGAAGGGCATGCGTACGGGGCCACGACGGGCGCGTGCGAGCGGGGGCCACGAAGGGCAGCGAGGGGGCCACAAAGGGCAGCGACGGAGCCACTGAGGGCAGCAACGGGGCCACGAAGGGCAGTGAGCGAAAGCGACCGCGGAACCAGCACGGGCAGCGAGGGGCATCGAAGGCGGGCGAAGGGCAGCGACCGGCGACTGCAGTCATTAACGGGCTGGTCGGGCGGGCAGGCCCCGACGGGCGGGTCGAGCGGGCGGGTCGTTGAAGCGTGAGTCTTGCTTGAACCGCCAGGCAATATGTAGCGGGAGCGCGATTCCTGAGTGTCGAGGACCGGCATTTGAATAAATTCGAAGAAATATCAAGCGAAGCGGTTCGTTGGTAAGTTGCGAGGAAGTCCCAAGCAAGAGCGCGATTCTGGAATACATTGTCATAAGTATCCAGCGGGAGCCACGATTCGATGGTAAATTGCCAGGAAGTCCTAAGCAAGAGCGCAATTCTTCAATACATTGTGAGGAAGTATCAGGCGGGAGCCGTTGCTGTTGTTGCTGTTGTTGTAAACCGGGGGCCAACGACACAGTTTGAGCTTCAAGACCTTCTCTTATAAAAAGCAGGGTGCGAGCCCCAGGAGGGGCACTTCAATTGAAAAATACCATGTGCACCGGGCGGGGGGGATCAACAAAACTTATTCTTCAGAAGTGCGAGTTCAACAACAGCAACAATAATTGTTAAGACTGTTCGCTCTGATCTGCTCGAGTGCCCGTTAACGCGTATTTCCCAAACCCCCGATACCCGCCCCTTTAGTATTCGATCGTACCCTTTTGGGGGGTATACGTTTCTTCCCTGCAGGCCGGGCCCCAGCAAGTGGCGAAGCGGCCGCGGACCGTCGGCTTGGCCAGCGGCAGCGCCGATCGGCGGCAACCCGACCCCAACAGGGACGGACATGGGACCGACCACGACGACGACGACAACAACGACGACGACGACGACGTCGACGACGACGACGGCGACGACGACAACGACGACGACGACGAGCGAAAGCGCAAGCGAGACAGAGAACGACAGAAGGGCCACGAAGGGCACGAAGTATGCCACGAAGGGCGACACTGGGGCTACGAAGGGCATGCGTATGGGGCCACGAAGGGCGCGAACGAGCGGGGGCCACGAAGGACATATAATAATGCGAGGCCACAGAGGTCAACGACGGGGCCACTGAGGGTGGCAACGTGGCCACGTAAGACAGCGAGGGGGCCACAAAGGGCGACGGCGGGGCCACGAAGGGCATGCACATGGGGCCACGACGGGCGCGAACGAGCGGGGGCCACGACGGGCATGCGTAGGTTGGGCCGCGGAGGGCAAGGACGGGACCACTGAGGGCAGCAACGGGGCCACGAAGGGCAGCGAGGGGGCCACGAAGGGCTGCAACGGGGCCACGAAGGCCGCGCAAATGGGGCCACGACGGGCGCGAACGAGCGAGGGCCACGAAGGGCATGCATATATGGGGCCACGAAGGGCATGCATATGGGGACACGAAGGGCTGCAACGGGGCCACGAAGGGCAGCGAGGTGGCCACGAAGGGCTGCAATGGGGCCACGAAGGGCAGCGAGGGAGCCACAGGGTTGCAACGGGGCCACGAAATCCAGCGAGAAGGGCTGCAACGGGGCCACGAAGGGCAGCGAGGGGGCCACGAAGGGCTGCAACGGAGCCACGACGGGCAGCGAAGGGGGCCACGAAGGGCTGCAACGGGGCCACGACGGGCAGCGAGGGGGCCACGAAGGGCTGCAACAGGTCCACGAAGGACAGCGAGGGGACCACGAAGGGCTGCAACAGGGCCACGAAGGGCAGCGAGGGGGCCACGACGGACTGCAACGGGGCCACGAAGGGCAGCGAGGGGGCCACGAAGGGCTGCAACGGGTCGACGAAGGACAGCGGGGGGGCCACGAAGGGCTGCAACGGGGCCACGAAGGGCAGCGAGGGGGCCACGACGGGTTGCAATGGGGCCACGAAGGGCAGCGAAGGCGCCACGAAGGGCTGCAACGGGGCCACGAAGGGCAGCGAGGGGGCCACGAAGGGATGCAATGAAGCCACGAAGGGCAGCGAGATCCCCTTTCCTAAGTAATATGTGAGGGAGTTTTGAGCGTGAGGGTGCCTGCGTGTTGGGAGCGCGGCGCTTGTGCAAATTGCGGGAAATTTCCCCGCAAAGGGCGCTATTCTTTAGTAGATCGCAAGCAAGTCTCCAGCGAAAGCGCGACTCCAGAGTGCCGAGAGAGCGATTCCTGTATAAATTGTAAGGAAGTCCCGAGCGAGAACGTGACTCCAGAGTAAAATGCGAGGAAGTCAGGCGGGAGCGGGGGTACGGGCTAAATTGTGAGGAAGTTTCCGGCGGGAGCCGTTGTTGTTGAATTCTCACTTCTGGAGAATAATTATTGCTGATCCCCCCCCACCGGTGCATACTGTTTTTTCTAAGTCAAGGTGTGCCCCTCGACGCTCGCACCTTGTTTTTTCACAGGGAAAGTCTTCCTGCTCAAACTGGCCCCTTGGCCCCCGCGTTACAACAACAACGGTTCCTTCATGAGATTTCTTTACAATTTAGGCAGGACCCCCGCTCCCGCCCGAGACTTCCTCGCATTTTATTCAGGAATCGCGCTCTGGCTTGGGACTTCCTTACAATTTATTCGGAAATCGCTCTCGCGGAGCTCTGGAGTCGCGCTCTCGCTGGAGATTTGCTTGCAACTTACTGAAGAATAGCCTTGCGTTGGAATTTCCTGCAATTTGCCCAAGCGCCGCGCTCCCGACACCCAGGCACCCAGGAGTCGCGCCCGTTGTGGCCCCATGTGCATGCCCTTCGTGGCCCCGCTGTCGCCATTTGTGTCCCCCTCATTGTCCTACGTGGCCCAGTTGCTACCCTCAGTGGCCCCATAGTTGCCTTTTGTGGCCCCGCATTATCTGCACTTCGTGGCCCCCGCTCGTTCGCACTCTTCGTGGCCCCATACGCATTCCCTTCGTGTCCCCGCTGTCGCCCTTCGTGGCCTACTTCGTGCCCTTCGTGGCCCTGCTGTCGTTCTCTCTCGCTCTCGCTTTCGCTCGTCGTCGCCGTCGTCTTCGACGTCGTCGTCGTCGTCGTCGTCGTCGTCGTCGTCGTCGTGGTCGGTCCCCTGTCCGTCCCTCTTGGGGTCGGGTCGACGGTCCGCGGCCGCCCCGCCGATCAGCGCTGCCGCTGGCCAGGCCGACGGTCCGCGGCCGCCCCGCCGCTTGCCGGGGCCCGGCCTGCAGGGAAGAAAGGTATACCCCCCAAAAGGGGTTCGATCGAAGACGAAGAGGGCGGGTATCGAGGGTTTGGGAAATACGCGCTATTGGACACTCGAACATATAAGGGCGAACGGTCTCAAAATGATTGTTGTTGTTGTTGGTGGTGTTGGTGTTGGTGTTGGTGTTGTTGTTTTTTTTTTTGGTTGTTGTTGTTGTTGTTGATGATGTTGATGTTGATGTTGATGTTGATGTTGATGTTGATGTTGATGTTGTTGTTGTTGTTGTTGTTGTTGTTGTTGTTGTTGTTGTTGTTGTTGTTGTTGTTGTTGTTGTTGTTGTTGAAAGACACCGGGTCTGGCCCCCCAGCCCCCCCACCCACACACACCAACCAACCAACCCCTCCCCCCGATTCCCTCCCGTCTGGGGGCCCTCTTGGGCCATCCTGGGGTCCCACTCGCCGCCTGGGGGGGTCCTTTGGAGCCGTCTGGGGCCGTCTGGGGGGCCTGGGGGGTCGTCTTGGGCGTCTTCCTCAAGGTTCACCAAGGTCCATTAGGGATATTGCTATTCAATGCGGCGCGTTTTCTCTTTCAGTCTACGTTTCATGCGGCCGCCAGAGCGCGTGTGTGCGTTTGTGCGTGCGTGCGTGCGTGCGTCTCTCTCTCTCTCTCTCTGTCTCTCTCTGTCTCTGTCTCTGTCTCTGTCTCTGTCTCTCTATCTTCCTCGCTCTCTTTATGTCTTCTGGCGAGCGGAAAGGGAAGCAGCGGCAGCAGGAGGGGCTGGAGGGGAGGGAGGAGGGACGGGAGGGGAGGGATGATGACGATGATAATCAGTGGAAGGAGGGACGATGATGAGGGGAGG